AAGCCAGTCGAAATAATTCCGTGGTGGATCGTGCAATCTCAGTCATGTAAGCCTGTGTTACGTTTGTCTTAGATTTATTTATTTACAAATTGTTTGGTGCAGTCGTCAGATAAAAAATGTCGGCTTGAATAGTTATATAAAACAAATATCGGCTATTTTAAAAATGCTCCCTAATTCAAACAAAAAGTTTTCAGATAAAAGTTGTAGATAATCACATCCCTAGTCAGTTTATGTTTTCCGATTTTTTCTAAAGCCTGTCATTTTTGACATATGACACAAACATATGTTTTTTTTTTTAAATGGAAACCATAGTTGGCCATGAGTTCATAAAAAACGCCACTTTTAAGCTTTTTAGCGATACAAGCTATATGATTTTTTCGAAAAATTACTGAGTGTAAAACTTACTAATTAAATAAGTTCGTCATAATAATGCTTTTATTTATTTACTATTCTAATAAACAATATGCATTCCTTCGGAAACTCTTTATTTATTTATCTAGTAATGCTAAAACACTCTATTTTAAAGTCGATTAGAGAAAATAGTATGATTCATTGACAAGTAATGTAAATATTTACGATCCGGTAAAATTGTGATGTAAGAGGAGGCTTAGCTTGCCTGCGGCAGGTCAGTAGTTGATATGCCGGTCGGCTGTTGTGTTGTGTTGTGTTTTGTCATAGAGCTGATATTTGGGGGTTGAGAGTCTTTTGACTATAAACGTTGCATGTACTGTAAGGCAACGGATCGTTTGACCGGAAGAAAACCTCTTGTGGTGTGACGTCTTGCCTTCGAGTTTGGTCTTGAGAGTTTGAGGTCTCCCTTGTCTTCTCGATTGACACGATGCGGCGTTGGGGTAGTGAGTTATTCCAATTAGCCTATTCGATTGGGATGCGAATCTGTTTAGCGGCAGATTTGCGTCCGGAGGAAGCCCCTATACTATTTCAGGTGACACTAGCTAGTTGTTGAAGATGATTAACCAATATATAACTGAATTATATTTAAATTAGATGGAAAATATGGAATGGGATATATTGAATAGAATATATCAGTGGCTAGGGGGCGGAGTACCCCCGGGTAAGTCTTACTATTTAACTATCAATTTTATCCAGATCAGTAAATGTTTGTTTTGTTATTTTTATGTACAATGAGAGAGTGCTTGCCAATGACCAACTAAATGGATATTTGAAGTGAATTTGCATTGTGAGACCCGGTTGAGTAAGCCCCAGAAATAAGCGATTTTACATGAGTCTGCGCCAATTTTTATCTTTCTTAAACAACTTCATTTAGTTAGCCATGTAAACAAGTTCAAATTGCTCTCAGAGATGTCAAACTGTCACATCCAAAAAAAAATATTTTATCGAGACGCAACTAAATAAATAATTGTAAATATTAATTTTTCAAAACTATTTTAAATTGGTTTAACTCTTCTTGGACCATACATTTTCTAAGATACGTTGACCGGTGACCGTTACTTACGCTTTTTAGAGAACTGTTTTTAAGACATGTTAGAAAATTTAAATTTACAGACTCGCGTATTAATACATTGGTTCCAAAATGACTTTCTTTATGAAGGTCCCCCTCGCAATAAAAGAAATGTTAAAAATTATTTATATCATAATTTTACAAACTCAGAAATAGCAAAATGTGGACTAGTTGCATGGGCTTTCTCGGTGAACTAACCTATCCGTTTTAGATTTTTTTATGCGGTATGGTTAACAATAAGGTTTACAAGGGAACATGTGAATCAAGACAGGCACTCGAACAGACGGTAAAAGTTTAATTATGTCGAGCGTTGTTTACGGTAGTACTAAAATAACTTAAGATAAAAGTTGATATTAGTTTTTTCAGATTAAATTTGTTTAATGTAAATTGTAAAGAACCATTTAATAAAATTTCTTTAAAAATTAATTATCAAAATTGAAGTTTTTTAAAGTCTTTTTATTTTCTTTATTAAGTTTTAAATCATAATAGAAGAAAAATACCATGCCAACCAAGTCAAATTAGTGAAGAAAGATAAGATTGGCTATCAGTAATCTAACTCAGTAATTTTTCAAAAAAAAAATATATTCGCGCTTATATCGCTAGAAAGCTTAAAAAATAGCGCTTTTTATGACGTCATAGCTAGCTATGGTTTCCATTTAAAAAATCATATGTTTGTGTCATAGGTCAAAAATGACGGGCTTTAGAAAAAAACGGACACCACAATCTCATTAAGGATGTGAGTATTCACAACTTTTATCTGAAAACTTTTTTTTGAATTAGAGCATTTTTGAAATAGCCGAAATTTGTTTTTATCTAAATATCTATTAGCCCATAAACTTTTTCAAAAATCCAAAAGGCGCATATGTTTGTCCTCACAAAACTGCAGTTCTTTCCCAATTTGACCGACTTTCTAGATCCAGTAGTTTCCAGATGCCCATAGAAAACATAGTAGAAAATTTACCCTAATGCTGTAAATAAAATATTTATAGCCTATGAATTTCCCCTTAACAGAGAATTTTGTTTTCCCTCTTGTTGTGCGTTTAGACTTGAGCACGCACGGACTGATTTTTCGCGAATGCTCAAGTGTAAACGGCTCTGCGCGCACGCTCACTCTGAATCTGTCTGTGCGCGAGCAGCCGCGAACGCGAGTCGTCTGGTGTCGGTTTTTGGTCCGTGCTCAAAGGAATTTTATGTGTGCGCGAACACTCAGTTTGCACCGGCAATTTGTTTTGTCTGCGTGCGTGCGTGTGTGATTCTTTTTTTGTTTTCTTCAATAAAACTCTGGAGTGGACCAACGAATCTTCGTTATTGTTAATAGAAGAATATGAAAACTTTTTTAAAAAAAATTATGAGATGAAAAACATTCTGCATATTATTCAAAAACCAAAAAAAATGACGCATGGCAAGACTGCAAATAAAATTAATTATTGAACATATCGATATTAATGAAGCACAAAAAAATGAAAAGTCGTTTTCTCCATTTAATAATATTTCCACAGTTTCTCCCCTACAAACGCCCCAGCTTGACATCAGCTCCCCTCACGACCTTACTTTTCCAAGTACGTCTGATATTTTGTAGATATTGAATATTTCAGAATATAGATCTACTAATACCCCATCATTTGCTTCTACCTTTATCCGATATAAACCCCTAAAATTTACCTACAATCGATATTTCGGGAATAATATAGGCGATGGAAGATTTAGGAATTTTAAAAAGGTACTGTAGGCTGCTATAAGTAGTCTCCAAGAAACGTAAAGTCAAGGCTCAACGTTCTCTTGGTGATATTGCTATTCTAAAATGTTTATCTTTTTTCGTAATTTTTGGTGTAATTAAATTTAGTAAATATTCAAAGTGGGGCCTGGCCATTCTCGTAAAGTTTTTGAACTAATCATAGTCCTCCTCAGACACTAAGTTATTTAATAAGATAGTATATCGATTTCTAAAATTTGGATTTGCTACCAGCGACGATGTTTTCGATTTTTCCTCTTTTTATATAATTAAACTATGCATAACAATGAATGCAGCCGCAACTATCTTTTGGTCGTCCATTGTTTTCACCACCACAACTCTGCTGTGCGCGCACAAGTGGATCACTTCATTCGTCGGAATCTAAGTTTTTAATTTAAACGAAGCCGAGAGCGCGAACGAATGCCGTGCGCGTACGCTCAGCTCGTGCGTGCTTAAGTCTAAACGCACCTTTACGGTTGACCCGTAGCTGCAAAACGGATAGACGTACTGTACCTAGTACCGATAGCGGTCTTAGCCGAAAACCGCAAGACTAGGTAGTGACAATATGCAAAAAAGATGAAAACCATTGATATTTATCTCCTCCTCGAGCTCCTAATCTATCTTCATGTACTTTTGACAAATCTCAATCTAATTCTAGAGGAACCGATTAAAATCGTTACCAAAACTGCAGGATTCTTTTAACGACTTGTTTAATTTGGGTAAGTTACTTTACATAGACATATAAATTATTTTTATACAGCATAATTGTTTTATTCAAAATGTGGGTTCTTATTATGAAAATAAAATGTCCTAAATAAATATTTTGTAATCAATAAGATCTTTTTTAGAACCTAAAACAAAATCGAGGCAACGTATAAAAAAAATTCTTACATAGCAGACACCGATAATTTTTCTGTTTGGTAGCAATATTTCAATATGACAAAAAAACTCAAGGTTGTCATCTGAAAAAACATAAATTTCCTGAAAGGAAAGGGATCCGGGAAAAAGGGGACTTTATATTCCAATATTTTAATACAGGACAATGGTCTGTGGGTTTTATGATATAGATTTTCGAATAAAACATTTTATTATCCTGTTATAGGAAACTGCAGCCCTATTGTATTTCAGTTGCTCGGGTGTTACGAACACGATTTCAGATAGTAAATTTGTTTTATGTTTTTCATCGGTACGTTAAAATATCGCAGAATTTCTTTAAAATTTTACCTCGTCGAGTTACTGGCATTTTGTAGCCTCTATTGTCGCGGTTTTCTTAGCGTCGTAAATTGTATTTGTAGGAAATCAATTTATAAAGAAAAGTATGTTAGATGCGTTTTGTACAGTTCGACAGAATATACAATAGAGTTGAGTTGTAATGTTACGTAAACCTCCAATAAAAATATAATAAGAAACATAAATATTAGGCCAATTTTGTAGATTATTTATTTTGGTTATTATATCAATATTAATTGAAGCTTGTATCACAAGTAAAAAATAACTGTCAATAATGACTTTTTTCTTAAAATTCTACATGTGGATAAATACAGGGTTATTCATCTCATACGACACGGAGTATTGTAGTCACACGATTAGATTTTTGTAAATTGTTGGAGGTCTACTAAAGCTACAATTTAAAATTGTTTTCAAAATGTACACAGTGTCCCAAACAAAGAAAAAATATCAAAGTTGTATCTTTTTAAATGGAACACCTTGTATATTATTACATTTTTAGTTTGAACTATTAAAATAAAGGTGAATTTAATTAATATTATATTTCGTATACTCGTCCAAATAGATATTATACATGTAGTTACACTATTCTTACTTTATCGAGCACATTTTTACAAAGAGTGAATCATAATTTTTTTTCTCTTATCATCCTTGCCGCTGCACGCCCGACCTGGTTGAATCATTACATTATTGTGCTTTATCGAGTACGTACAGTTCGGCAGCTAAAATGCCAAAAAGACGTAGATTTACAAGTGAAAGTGATAGTGATGAGCTAACTTCAGAAAGGGCACGGTTAAGGCGAAAATTAGAACGCCTAGAAACGAAAAGAAAATCAAAGGGAAAACAAATAAGGCGTCGAATTATCGAATCAGACAGTGATGATTCAAGTGGAAGTAAGTAAAACCATGGATGGGGTTACACATTGCTGTTAGTTAATAAGTAACCTATTGTCGAGTTATTTATTAAAAAGACTTAATTAAAACATGTGTCATATAAAAACTTATAATACAATAACGCATACCTACCTAAACATCCGACTGCCGAGATGTGGGGTAAAATCCTTTCCTTCTTGTCTTTTTATTTAAATTACCTTTAAGCAGCCGACTGCCGAGTTGCCTATACGTTATTTTTTTAAATAAATAAATAAATTGTTATAAAAAGTAAATAACAAGAAAAATTACAAAAACCTACAATACAATAACGTATACCTACCTAAACATCCGACTGCCGAGATGTGGGGTAAAATCCTTTCCTTCTTGTCTTTTTATTTAAATTACGTTTAAGCAGCCGACTGCCGAGTTGCCTATACGTTATTTTTTAAATAAATAATATAAATCTCAAACACCAAAAAGAAACTGAACTAATCTATTTTACTTTTTCTTGACAATAATATAAATTGTAAATACGGAGATATGCTCAATGACAAAAAACGTCGTAAAAAACTGCCTAGAGAATCCGTTGTTGTTCTCTGATATGGGACGATTTCATAACAGTTGGGTCGCTTCAGATAATAAATAAATTGTTATAAAAAGTAAATAACAAGAAAAAATTGTTTAATGTTATTCTTTGGATCGAAGGCAAGAACTGCATGAAGTGCAGGTTCACAGGGAAAACGAAATCCCAGATAACCTATGTGAAGAAACCCTGTCAGTAGTGCCAAAAAATATTAGATTTTTACAAGGTCCGGAGATAAATCCAGAGATATCAGAGTCCATAACTGATGCTCAGAAAAATCACGATAAATACATGTCTATTGTACAGAATCAACTGGGAAATGGCTTATCCGCCTTGGCCAAAGGCTTAAATGCACTATTAGTGGACAAAGCGAACGCGGACGTTGGCTCCAAAGTTATGCCCTGCCTTATCGATGCAGGCAAAGTGATTACTGATGCTTTTCATATGATAACGAAAAGCAGGAAATTTCATATTGAAGCTAATCTAAACCCCACGGTTAAAAAAATTGTTCGTGATAGCAAACCCGACAAATTTTTGTGTGGAGAAAATTTTTCGGAAAAATTTAAAGAAGCAAAGAACCACCAACGCACTGGAAAAGAGTTAAAGTTTGCTAAGGCAAATTTTGTAGTAAATAGGCAGTCGTCTTCCACCACCTACGCAAGAAGCTCAGGTCAAAGTGTAAGGAGGTCCTTTAGGAACCAGCCGACTTTAAACTACCGAGGAGCCTACCACAAGAACAAGGTGAAACGGACACCACCACCTCGGACCCAACGAAGGTACCCTGTGAAAGCACCTTATTACCAGAAAGGGGGATATCAAAAATAATGGAGGTGAGTGCATATGGTGGACGGTTAAGATATTTTACCGAGGTATGGAAAAATATAACAAACAGTATAAGTATTTTGTCTTGGTTAGAGGGCTATAAAATACCGTTTAGGGAAAAACCGATTCAGGGTCATAGACCTATAGTAAGTTTACTTAGTGCATCAGAAGAGCGAAAGGTGGCCGTGATTATACTTAAGTTCGAAAAACAGGGCATAATAAGTCAATGTTGTCATAGCAAAAATGAATACATATCCTCCTTCTTTTTAGTTCCAAAATCTGATGGATCCTCTCGATTTATTTTAAATTTAAAAAATTTAAATAAGTTTTTGGCTCCAGTGCCACATTTTAAGCTAGAAAACTATAAATCAGTAAGAGACCTAATTTATAAAAATTGTTTTATGTCAACCATAGACCTTAAAGATGCTTATTATATGATACCAATTAGTCCTAATTTTAAAAAGTTTTTAAGATTTGAATTCAACGGTCTACTGTTTCAATACAATGTAATGCCCATGGGGTTATCCTCCGCACCATATGTATTTACAAAAATGTTAAAACCGGTACTAAATAAACTTAGATCGTTAGGGATTTTTTGTGTTATGTATTTAGATGATATTTTTGTTATTGGTAGGACCCAGCAAGAGACGCAAGACCATGTTAAAAAAATTATTTATTTGTTAGAACATTTGGGCTTTATTATAAATTACAAAAAATGTAAATTAATTCCAGCAAATACATGTAAATATTTAGGTTTTATTTATAACAGCGAAAAGCTTACTGTAGAGTTACCCATGGAAAAGAAAACTAAGATAATATCGTTAGTTACTAAATTACATAATAAAGAAAAAGTATCCATTAAAGAACTTTCAAAGGTATTTGGCACATTAATTGCTGCATGTCCGGCCGTTTCTTATGGGTGGCTCCATATTAAGAGTTTGGAACGATCAAAATACCTAGCCCTTAAGAAATTTAATACATATAAAGCCCAATCTTAATAACAAATCAAATTAAAATCGAACTAAAATGGTGGGGAAAATAGTATTTTAAATTCTGTTAAAAATATAAACATGGAAAATTTTGATTTAGAAATATTTACTGATGCCTCCAATACTGGCTGGGGGCAGTATGTGGTAATAACAAAACTCATGGATTTTGGGGTGAGATTGAAGGAAGTCATCATATAAACTACTTAGAACTTTTGGCGATATTTTATGCGCTTAGGTGTTTTGCCTTAAATAAAAGTCACATAAATATAGTGTTTCGTGTCGATAATAAAACAGCCATAGCATATATCAACAAAATGGGAGGCATTCGATTTCAAAAATTAAATAATCTAAGTAAAGAAATTTGGTCTTGGTGTGAAGAAAGAAATATATTTATTTACGCAACTTATATCGCTTCCAAGGATAACACAGTAGCAGATATGGAATCACGGTCAGTGGCAATCGACACTGAATATTGTTTAAATATGCAATATTTTCAAAAAATAGTTTTTGACTTTGGAAATCCAACAATAGATTTGTTTGCAAGTAATATAAACAGCAAATGTACAAAATTCATTTCATGGCGTAAAGATCCGGGAGCTATAGCATCTGATGCATTTAGCATAAACTGGGGAAATTATAATAATTTTTATGCCTTCCCTCCGTTTTCTCTTGTTGGTAGGGTACTCAATAAAATAATAAGAGATCAAGCAAAAGGTATCTTAATTGTGCCTTTTTGGCAGACTCAATACTGGTATCCATTATTTTTAAGACTTTGCGTCAAAAAACCATTAACTCTACCGCCGAATGAATTTTTATTATTATCTCCTTTCAGGACCCCCCATCCGCTTTGGAGACAATTATCCCTAGTAGTAGGGAAATTATCAGGGGATCATTTCTAAAACGAGGCATTCCTGACGCGGCGATACCAATATTGATTGATTCAATAAGTAAAGCGACTTTTAAACAATATGCAGGAACATATAAAAAATGGTGGTTATTTTGCCAGCGTAATAAGGTAGACATTTACCAGGCAAATGTTGGAAATATTATTGCTTTTCTTAATGACCTTTTTTTAAACAAAGCATCATATACGACTTTAAATACTCATCGGTCAGCATTATCATTAATTCTAAATTACAGTAACGGGGATGAAATTTTGATTAAGAGATTCCTTAAGGGTGTGTACAGGGCTAAGCAATGCTTTCCAAAATACAAGACAACATGGGACCCCCAGCCAGTCTTGGAATATCTAAAGAAATTATACCCGTTAAATACACTTTCTTTGGAAATGCTTACAAAAAAACTCGCATCGTTATTATTATTGGCAACGGGACAGAGACTCCAAACTATTTCTAAGATTAAAATTCAAAATATTCATGGTATAGAATCCTCAAAAATTAAAATTTTTATCACAGAAATACTTAAAACATCAAGTTATAATCGTCAGCAGCCAGTTTTAGAGTTCAATTATTTTACAGAATGTCCGGAGTTATGTGTAGCGAATACATTAAAGGCATATTTGTTAAGAACAAGTTCATTAAGAAAAGATACTGACGAGTATCTTATGCTTACATTTAAAAAGCCCCATCATATAGCTAGTTCCCAAACTATTGGCCGTTGGATAAAAAATATATTAAAAATTAGTGGAATTGATACAAACAAGTATCATTCTCACAATACGAGACATGCTACAACCTCAGCGGCTTTTAGGAAGGGAATTGGTATAGATCAAATCAAAGATACTATAGGATGGTCTCAAAGCTCGCAAGTGTTCCAGAAATTTTACAATCGGCCTTTAGAAGGCAATAAATTAAATTTTGTAGAATTAATTCAGGGAAATAATTAATAATTTTTAAGATATATGTATCTCAGATCTTTCATAATTATAGAAAATAAATGTTTATGTAATATTTTGTTTACCTGCTAAGGTATTATACTTAGGTTTAAGTGTTGATGATATTTTTTTTTGATTGTGTTTTTTGTTATAAACAGAAGGTAAATAAATTTAAGGTTTTGCTTACTGGGAAATATTAGAATTATGTTTAAATATATTATATTTTTAGAAATTTCTATACATAACTTGTTTAATTTAACTGCCAACAAAAAATAGAATTTTAGGGCCTTTAAACATCTACATGTATAATATCTATTTGGACGAGTATACGAAATATAATTTTAAGAACAAACGACTTACCTGTAGGAAGTTCGTTCTGAATTATATGAGTATACTCGTCCAAATAGATATGTCCCATACCCGGTTAATTGTTAAATCCCACCCGAAATTCTATTTTTCCACAAAATGTAATGATTCAACCAGGTCGGGCGTGCAGCGGCAAGGATGATAAGAGAAAAAAAATTATGATTCACTCTTTGTAAAAATGTGCTCGATAAAGTAAGAATAGTGTAACTACATGTATAATATCTATTTGGACGAGTATACTCATATAATTCAGAACGAACTTCCTACAGGTAAGTCGTTTGTTCTTAAAATTATACTGAATTTTTTATATTTACAAAATCTTGTGTTGCAATACTAAAAATATTACTACCTACCTTATAATTCCTGACCGTCCTGATACAGAATGTATAAAAAATATTTTAAATAATTACTAGGTTAAACAGGAATAATTTGTTTCATTCAAATTTAACACCTTGAATATTTTACGAGAAATTAATACACAATTTAATTGTCTGTAAAATTATATTATGCCATTTTTTACATATCACTTCAAGTTTTCGTAGAAAATGCATTTTTTTAAATTTAGACCTCATTTATCAATATGCCCATGGAATATTGATATTATACATTATTTTTAAATATGTAACAAATTTTCAGAGTACAGATTAACTAACACAATTAAGTATGTAATGAATTGTTATTTGAGCAGAAATAATGGTAGTATATTTAACTGGTATACTGTTTTACAAAGATTTAAATAGTTTTCTTTTTGTAAACAAATGGGCAAGTAATATTATCGGTTTTAGCACCTGTACATTTTGTACATTTGTTGCTTTTAAAAAAAGATCTAAAATGTCAATATTCCATGGGTATATTATTGATAAATGAGGTCTAAATTATATGGAAATGCATTTTCTAGGAAAAATTGAAGAGATGGGTAAAAAATGTTATCAAACAATTAATAGATAATTAAATTGTACATCTAATTTACCTAAAATATACAGGGTGTGCTATTTAAATTAAACAAGTTATTGCCGTTTATAGCTAGTTATTATTTAAAATAAATTTTGAGACACTCTGTATAAGGTAGTATTATTTTTATTATTTCAGCACAATATCTAGTAAATAGAAAAACTTCAGACTTTGTAGCAAAATATACATATATTTATAGATTAAATACATGGACACGCTTCAGTTATCCTCTGCCGCAATTCTTGCAGCGAACCTGGTTTTGTCTTGTAGACTATGGGTTTAGTGTATCCCACAAGAAAAAGTCTAAAGGAGTTAAATTTCCTTCCAAATCTCTTTGATTTTCAACCTCATTTACAATGGCTGGCTCTATCAAATTGTTCAGCATTTCTACATAAGCATCACCAGTCAAATTTCCGTCGATAAAAAATGGGCAAGCATAAATGCATCGACTTGCATTTCCTTGAATTGAGCAAAAAAATATATCAAGTAAATTTGAACATTTTATAAAATATTACCATTTTATTTTAACGGAAAATGTTATTTTTTCCCCAAAGTAAACTTACAAGTAGTATTTTTATTGTAATTTTTGTCATACGAACAGCTTTATGAGCTTATTTACGCCATTTGCTTCATGAGTATTTATAAGTATTTAATATCATCTGTTATATTTTATTTTTAGTTATAGTCGTTATAGTATTGCAGTTATTTTAACATAAAATATTGTTGTTTGATTTGGCAACACTGTAATATAATATATATACCTATATAAGAATAATTGTATTAGTTTTTAATAGAGACAGCATCGGGCGGTCTGACTGAAAAGTTCGAAATTTATTTTATTCAGTTAGTTTTATTATAACGGTTATTTTGCCTATAAATTATAATTCGGTTCCTTTTTCTCTTTTTATCCATTTCTTATTCCACACAAATACCGAGACAGAAACCAAGTTCAATCTAGGTAAGTTTTTTATTTGTTAAATAATTTTATTAGTCGCAACCAGCGAAACTTATTTTACATTTGGTCCTTCGATTTTAAAAGAAGTTAATTAGATATTACATCATCTGTTTATATAAATTGCATGTTATTAATTAATATAAGCGTTTAAATATACTTAAGGCCCTACAAAATTAAATTATAAATTATCGTGGTTTTTTGAAAATATCCATATACAGGGTGGTCCGAACCGTATTCCGGAAACTTTGGCAGTATATTCTGCAGATAAAAATAAGTAAAAACTTCGTATAAGTATATGTCCTAAAATGCTTAGTTTCGGAGATACAGCGTGTAGAAGTTTCATTTTTATTTCGATTTTTTCCAAATAATTTCTGAAGTAACGTCAATATTTCGATTAAAATTGGTGTCTGAAAGTTTTTGGCAAGAGAAATTTGATTTTGAGGTCAATATGACTCCTATTTGTAGAGGGCGTCACCTACATGTGTTTTAACTGTTTTGAAGAGTAATAACTTTTCGTCCGTACCTGTATAAAACTATTGAGTGAAAAAATATATATTTCCGCGATTTTTACGTAAATTTCTCTTAGTAAAGATCGCTACGAGCAACCATTCTCAATATATTTAGAATGGAAATAGTCAATACATGTCATTATTGACAAAAAATAAACATGTGCAGTAGATATTTATTTGACTGAAATGATAAATTTTTTTATTTTTTTTTAAATTTATCATAAATTTTTCTTCGAAAAAATGATGACAAAACAGTCTCTGTTGAACTTTTGCCACAAAAACATTTCAAATTTGTGATGTCAGTCTAATAACTATTTAGTCAACATGTTTATTTTATGTCAATGATGACAGGTATTGATAATTTCGATTCCAAATATCTTGAGAACCATTGCTCGTAGCGATTTTTACCAAGAAACCTTATTTACGTAAAAAACGTTGTAAGTGTATATTTTTGTTTAATCAGTAGTTCCATACAGGTACGGATGAAAAGTTATTATTCTTCAAATCAGTTAAACAATATGTAGGTGGTGCTCTCTACAAGTAGGAGTCATATTGATATCAAAATAAAATTTCTCATGTCAAATTACTCCCAGACACCATCTTTTCCAAATATTGACGTCACTTCAGAAATTATTTGGAATAAAAATGAAATTTCTACACACATTTTTTTTGGGGGGGGCTTAAATGTAAATTTCATAAATTACAAGCCCAAACGGTCATTATAGAACAAAAAATTAGCTCGAAGTTATGCAATAATAGGGAACGGAATGCAACATTTTGTATAAAATTAATGGAAAATATATGTAACTTTTTTGTATGGCTATAATATTTTACTATAAAATATTAAAATTTTATCGGAGGGGTATTTATAACGTTAATAATAATTTTGATATTGCTATAATATATATGTACGAAATAATTGTGCATATTTTTTTGTTAAATATTTGCGTTTCAATACAAAATAAATGTGTGGACATAGATTGAATTATGCATAGTATTCCACAATATTATTCAGTATGCAATTATGTATCTTAATAAAAATCTATACTCTATTATTGATAATTTGTATGCAATGAATACGCTGCGTTTCAAACAAGATAGGATGTACTATTTTCAATTTTCCATATATTTTATTTTTATAGCCGTATAAAAATATAGGTTTACATATTTATAGTAATAAAAATAATATAAGATTTTTTAGATAGAAATTGTTTAATATCCGTTCTTACTGGATGTTAACATCCGGAAAGAAATATCAGTGCCAAATTTCTACAAAATAGATTTTTTAAAGATTTTATGTCTTTTTCAAATTCTTACTAAATTTCCAACAATACAATTTAACAATAAAATTATGTATTTCATATTTATTACACAGGTCTACAATGATTTTGGTGCCGCCAAAACTAAAAATGATTTTAAGTATATTAGATACCTTGATTCTACCAGTATACTTCCTTTTTTAATGCTACGTGTAGTTTTCGAGAAATTGTAGGTTTAGTAAAAAAAGAAAATAAACAATCCTAAATTAATTAATGAGATTATTCTACAGGTTAAAAGCTACTTTTTTTAATTTTCTACGATGTGATGGTGGTGCTAGAAAGGCGGAATGGCACGATCAAAGTTACTTGGACCAAGAACACTTGGATGCTGTCGAATAACTGTAGAGGGTGAGTCAACGATAGAGTAAAGTCCATTATCTCATTTGTTTCAAGGTTTACAAAAAAATGTTTAATATAAAAGTTATAGGGATGGTTAAGATACACATTTTATAATTATATTATTATAGAGTATACAAGGTGCTTCAAAAAAGTGTGTCGGCTATAATATATGTTTTTTTTAAATGCAACACTCTATTTTTTAATTTATTTTTAGATTCTGCGTAAAATTCCATAACTTTTTTATATATAATGTTATATACCTAAAATTAATAGTTTTTGTAATATTTCAATTTATTTAAACAAATGTTTAATTGCAGTGTGGTAAAAAATTGTCAGTGGTGCTATTGTTTCTGATGTTGGAGTACCAAAATTTGGTAGGAGAGTTTTATAGAGATGAAAAAAAAAAGATATATGTAAAGATATTTTAGTTAAATGATACAGGGTGTTCAAAATTTTTTTCTGAATTTCAACTACTTAAAATTAAAAAATCTCAATTTTTTTAAATGGGACACCCTATATATTATCATTTTTTCTGATAGATTTTACAAAACTCTTCAACTTTTATTAAGTATGTCATATACCTATTTTTAATTGTTTGCGATTTATTCCCATTTTTTCTATTTTTACCCATATTTTTAATACAATTACCCTATAGAATCATAGTTGCCATGACAAAACAAAACTCTTTATTACTTACCTTTAACAAGTAGCTTCATAATTAGTTACAATTCCTGGTATTAGTTAAACTTAATTAACTTTACTCAAATAGACTAAATCGCAGTAGTGAATTTCTTGTGTATTTCTATATTATGATAAATGACATTTGGGATTTTTCGTCGAGGCGAATAGCCACAGATTAGCGTAATACTAGATTACCTAATTGCTAAAGACTACTGATATAGGAATTTTCTTCGACATACAGTAAAGCTTTTTCTCGTAGTAATTCTGGTTTATAAATTTGGTAAAGCCAATTTACTACTGCCGCGAAACCGTCCCATTACACACTGAAGATGTTTTCTAGATAATATAGAGTTAGCAAAGTACTATATAATATATAGTACTGAACCAAAAAATGTGGTTTTCTAGGCTTGTCCGTGTATATCAGTCACATTGACTAATTCATTTGAAGAAAATCTGTAACTATTATCTCTACCATTTATACTTATTACAACAAATTAAACTAAA